GCCACTACCACCTTGAACATTCTGGAATCTTTATCTGAACACACTTGCAGTAAGCCTCAAACCTAACTAAATATTACAGGCTAAATTTGACACGATCCTGTCATTTGACCGTCGAGGTCTCAAATTCTAGCAGTGGCAAATGAATTAATTTCTTTTGTTAAATTTTTTTTTGTTATTACTCTACATTAGTGGCGTCCTGCTTCAAAGCTCTTGCATCACGACTCGCCTGCCAATAGTGATAATTTTAGGAGCGGAAGAAATTTTTGCACGAAAAGGAGGAAATGCGTCTGCATCTGGAAGCGGAAATGACCGAGTTGAAAGCGAATATTGCTCGCATGAAGATTATCGAGAAAAGAGCGCAGGCTTCTCGAAATGAACCAAGCAGTGAAGTTAAAAGCAAATTACAAGTAATTTTCGGATGAAAAGCTGTATGGAAATGCAAATTGTCTTTTCAGCTGGAGCACAACTAAATTCAGAAATAGTAGAGATAATTTGTTCAGCCAACTTTTCCAAAAAATAATCATCTGAAAGAGCACAACTGTCTGCTAGTAGTTACTTCCTTGATAAAAGTTGAGGGAGTGCTTTTCCCGCTGTAGCAAGTGAAAGCGAAAAAAGTTTTGAATTTAAGACTCCAAGATTTGCTACTGCCCTAAGGATCGAACAAGAGCATGAACTATCGCAATTTTGCTGCATTGCTTGTCTACACTTACGCATGGACCATGATCATTAGCTGCGCGCATCAGGGCTAGAGTGCTTTTTTCGTGAAGCAGACAAATCGTCAATAATCTGAATGCTCGTCGTTTTACAGTTCGATGTGTGAACATTTGCTGGAAGCATTCATAGTTAGTAAGTATACGTAATTATATGAATATACAAGTGCACCACATGCACTATAAGTGCACAGAATTGTCACTGTACAAGTGCAGCTTCCTGCGCAAATTAATATATTAACATAGTAAATAGCACACTTTCACTCCAAAAGTATGAAACATTCCTTGTAAGGAAAAAAAAATTAATTTAGAAAAAGTTTAGAGCAGCCGGTGACTTTCAGGATTTGTCGCAGGAAAATCAAGCGTTGAAATCAAAATTAGCCGAGTCTCACCTTGAACTGGCAATTATCAAATCAGAACTGGCCACAGTTCGAGCCGATTATGAATCGAAGAAGGAGGAAATGATCAGTGATTCAAACGCACTTATAAAAAGTGCCCAACAAACTCAAAATTTGCAACGACAGATCCAGTTGCTGTAGTTCGTTTTCATCTTCAAATTTACATTTTTTCTGTTGAATTTAAATTCATAAATTGCAGCTTTTTTACTTTTCTGGAAATGGTAAAATACTGGTTTTTATATGTTTTGGACTTTCGAAGGCCTGAGGTGTGACAAATTTAACAAGAGTATGGCTCATCTATGCGATCCATTTTACAGTGCAAATCATGCACCTCATATAAGATCACCGGGGTTTTCGACATCTTTGTTATGTAACTTCCAGTATTACAAAATTTATGCCTTACAGAGCAATAAAAAAATGCAATAAACAGAAATTTCAAGAGAAATTTGAAAAAATTGTTTAACATAAGAGACGCGTGGCCAGAGCATTTGTTCAATGTGAAAGGTGTATGATGCTCATAAATAAACAAAAATGGCCAAATCTGAGAAGCATGAGTTTAATGGTTTTTAAGAAAACTGACATTTTAGGTATTGGATAAGTCGAGTCGATGGAATTTTACTAAAACCGGGGAAGGCTTCTTAACCAGTTTATCCTTTTTTTAGACAACATCTCAAAGGTTTCGTATCAGGTATAAGGTATAATAATTAATTGAAAATGCCACTTATCTTTGGAAAAAAACTGTCATTTATTTTGCACTTCTCAAAAAGGCGAAGAGACATTTGCTCCCTGCTCGCTCTCACTGCGGTCTTGTTCAAACTGAAGAACAGGGGCTGTAATCGTTGGCACAAAAAATTGTAAAGAGTTTCTCTGAGTACCTAAAAATACCAAGACGCGTTGCGTTCATTCAAAATTGTTATTTTGAATCCGTATTGGGACGGATTTCTGTGCTAGATTTTGCTCCTCTGAAGATCTCAATCACTATTAAAATAGGAAACATTGCTTATCCGAAGACATGCATAATTTACAGTAACTGTGTTGCAGTGATGCAAACAAGAGACTTCACGACACAAATGACAGCTTACGTGAAGCACTGGATCAGAGAGCTTTGGTGAGTTCAATTTTGCCTGCCTCTGTGTTTTAGTTTCAGGATTACAAAAGTTAGGAGCCGAAAGAAAATTTTTTGGACTTTT